TCGTCATTGGTTTTGTAGGTCCTGTCAAAACCATTATCAAGAAAATAAGTTGTCAAATTCATTTGATTAACAGCTACGAAGAAAAAGTCCCGGAGATAATTTTCTCCATCAATTTCATACTTACAAAACCTACCAAGTAAAAAGGTGTGAGCTTTGAATTCGGCGCAATCACTTTTCATTTACTTTAAAAATAGGCACATTGCTTACCAGGAAGATTGGCCTGCAAGAACACTTTGTGGCTCATGTTAGAAACATCCTGAAGATTCAAGCGCTTCCCATAAAGGTTGGTAAACGAAGTGGAAAGTATTGGGTGCTGCTATCCATGCAATCAGAAGAGGTCGGACTGTTTCAAAATACGCCTCCGTTAACCTGCGCATTTAAAAATTATTGTCATACTTCAGGAAATTGCAATCATAATTGTGGTGTACATTCCCACGAGCAACAGCAACCCTTAATAAACTTACAATAGACGAAGGCCGGACGTTGAGTGTTCATTGCACTCCTTCATGAACGATATAATTACACCATTCAAATAACCTCCTTCGTCTAATCGGCTGTAAGGATTCTCAACGTGTTCTACGACCCATTCTCTAACCACCAAATTTAATATACGGCTTCTGACTCTAATGGAAATAAGAATCGCGAGCTGAATAATGACAGTATACCACCTTTTCATAATTCCGGATGGCCTTATTTAAAGCTTCAAGCGATTAGAACGCTACCAGATAGAATGTATGTACATGCAATACGCAGATAGGTCCAGCTGACGAGTCCAAATAGGAAAAAACTCGCCTCCTGAATTCCACCGCTAGCCATTATCCACTTTTGCATGTAATGCTTATGAATTAAGGCTATATCGAGGCAATACGCTCAGTATGCAGATATTCCAATAGGAAACTGATCAATTGCAGTCCTAAACATCAACGGGGAGATTCAAACAAATAATACCAGGTGAATTTATAATCTTAAGTTCTTTTTAAAATACGCATCTGATTATGAAATCAATTTTTTCATCAAATGAGTAGAGTAGAAACCTGTCAAAGTTTATTTATTTTCAAGGGTTATTATTATTATCACCAGTTTCTAATTTTTATTCTGTAGAAATATCATTCTAAAGGTTTGAATGATTTTTTCTGATTAGCGTTTTTTAGCGAGTTAGTTTTCTACGTGATGAGGTCGCTAAGCCCATGCCCAGCCCTCCTCCTTTACGCGGGCTTGGGACCGGTAGTAGCCACTGAGGGACTCCAGGTGGAGTTCAGAAATATTATTATTATTATTACTATTATTATTATTATTGAATTGTCAATAATTTGAATAAAAATGTATTAATTTTAATGTTTCCTTTCTGAATCCTTTTCATATCTCCAATATATAATTTTATTATAAGGTTATAATCATTTAACGGAAGGGTTTCTTTGGATATTATTGTAATTTCAATAGTTGAGATCATGAGTCAGTTGAAGCTAGATCACTATGGAAAACCTGGAAGCACTGTGGTGATCTAGCTTCAAATGACTCGTGACCTCAACTATTGAAATTACTTAAATCTCTACAAAATCCCTTCTGATAATAATCAACATATGTTCACTAGTGACTGGCTTCAAGAGGTATTTTCTGGAGTTCTGGGGAGAAGCAGTGACCAGTGGAGTTCAACCGGATCTGTTGGGAGATAGGAACTCAATGATGACAATGCTGGACGTATCGCTAAATTTCATGGATTAGTTGAAGATAGACATCAACACCATTGGATGCCGGCCAGCTCAGTGGTCTAGAAGATAATCACTAGCGCGCGCGACAATGATAGGTCCTATGTTCGAATCTCGCGAGCTGGGATCGTGGATGTGCATTGTTGAGGAGTCTCACAATAGGACGAAATGGCCATTCAATGCTTTCTGGTTTTTCGTGGTGGTCTATCTTCAAGTGACTCATGATCTCAACTGTTAAAATTATCATCATTTAAAACATCATTTTTAATAAATCCATTTAAGAGTTATAGAAATAAAACTGTAAAACAATAATTCAGATGTACAGATTACGTAATAGAAGATAAATATCATTTTGATATGATGGAAAGAAAAGTCAATTTTCGATTGATTTACTCAGTATGAGTTTTGTTCAAGATTATTTCCGTTTTGATTCAGTGTAATGATTACTCAATGTAGTATTTGGTTTTCTTTTCTCGTATGATATTTTATTCTGTATAATATACGATATTCTTGTATTCCATTGACATGAACTATGCTCAGTATGTGATTTGTTATTTATGTGATTACATTATAATTATTAATCAAAATGGGTGTACAATCAATATATAAGTGTATTTTCGATTAGGGTCGTCGACGTCGTGTTTTGGGGTTAATAAATCATCACTTATATCAGGTCTTTATATTCTTACTTTCGCGTCGTGAGAATTGCAGTGGTTCCTCATGTTTACAAGTACAAGTAATAAGCGATTCCGACGAAATAATCAGCGATGACCAGATATAACAAGTAAGATTCAAGTGACAAACCATATCATATTTATTTTTAAATTTTGCTCAATAATAAAAAAAATATTTTTTTAGATTCTAATTAATTCAGCCGTGTATTATTGAATGGACAATGTTGAAATATTAGGTGGTGTTTGGAGGTGATCGACGGGAAACACTGAACCTAGGTTCCATTCAATTTGACACTCGTCATCAAGATATGCCTGTAACCTTGAGGTAAGTGATGCTCTCTGGTGGACCTAACATACATGACATTGGTCACTAGTCAGTGATCAATCAATTATAAATACATCTCATTCCTGAATGAGGTCACGTCAATCGTGAATAATCCAGTGGTAACGTTTTTGACTGTGAGTTGATTGACACGAGATCGGATCCACCATAGATCATCCATTTCCTCAAAATTATAGACACACTTTGATGACGAGCTGCAAACAGCAATAAACTTAGGTCCATGATTTCCTATCGATTGCTTCCACCCACCACCTTACAGCTCAAAGAATACAACACCATTACAGTATAACCGATGTAATCTTACTCAAGAATTACGTTAAAGAAACTGAAACACATTTATTTGGCATTTACGTGACTCGTTAGTATCTTTGCAATAATAAGAAATCTTGTTTTGACTTGCTTAAGCTTGTGTTAGTATGTATTTCTAACATGATACAAGTGAATAAATAATTTTTTCTTTTTGATAAATCATAATTAATATCTATGTGGTGTATTGTTATAACTTGTGACCGCCGATTAAAGGGTAGTGATTTATTAATCGGACCAAGGACGCGTAAAACACGTGCGAGCAGCTTAGAGTCCTGATTGGTCCTGCTTCCCACCTAGCCCAGCCAATTAAGTTCAGAATACAAGTCTCAGCCTCTGCAATATGAATCATTTATTTCAAACATACTCGGTTTATATATCAACCAGACAGACCACGACGTACCATAAAATATGAAACAACATTTGTACAAGAATTAGTCAAATGTGGCTGTGAATGAGGGAGATATTAATTAATAGACAGGCCATAACTCAAGAATGGTAAATCGTGTAGTAATAGTCTATGGGTCAAATTAAAGCTTATAGTAAGAGCGACATGAATATGAACAGTTTAGTTGCATGAAAATTATACGATAAAAATATATTCCTAGTACTGGTCCATAAATGGATCCCAAAAGTCACCATTCTTATCTGGATATAACATGTATGCTACTTTTACTTGTCGAATTAAGTAGTATACAACACCAATGAAAATTTGAATGACTGTCGGTAGATGGGCTAGAAAACCCGAATTGAAGAAAACATAAATGAAAATAAAAAGGAATTGTGAATTCGAATAATCATACAGAATGTAAAGTGTAAATCATAGAAATTTGTAAATGAAGTATTCCATGTATGATTCTTATGTTTTACCATCATATTGTATTATTATTATTATTATTATCTAAACACATAAACACTGGTACAAGGAGGCACCAAAAAGATATGCGCCAAATACATCATTCGATTTTTGTGAGAGCTGGGATAATGCTCGGGTTCTCAAACCGAAGCAGTTGGTTTTCATAGAGTGTCACAACCCGAGCCTTTGACCTAAATCTCTAATCTACAAGGCAGTCTAGCAACGTAAGAAGATTCAATCCCATGGTAGCCGGTGACCAATAATAGATTCATACGCTATTTGTTTCCTTAACATCCTCGATCCTATGTATACCATTGGTTTCGAATCAAGGGGTATTCCAACTCCCCTAGATGGACACTTCATATCCATAATCATGTATTAAACAATAAATTAATTATCACCCACTTGTGTTTGGAACTAGAATACAAGGCCCAGGACAGAGTGGGTTGGAGAATGCTGGTCGGCGGCCTATGCTCCATTAGGAGTAACAGGTGTAAGTAAGTAAGTAAGTAACCCACTTGTGTTCTCATTTATTATATATCTTTACTAAAAGGAACTGATTTACTATTCTGTTTTTTAATTTGTATAAATCATATGGTTCACACGTTAATTATTCGAACTGTGATTATGTATTAGTTTTTTTCCTATTTAGATCATTGAATAATCAATGACTTGTTCAATCATGTGTAAATTGGATCCACTATTATTATTATTATTATTATTATTATTATTATTATTATTAGTTTAATTAAAAATGTTTGAAATCTATGTTAAATTAGAGCAAATTATTATAATCAGTATTTGTATACAATTATAAATTATTTAATTAAATATTAACTTGAAATTCATTGATTATTGAAAGTATATAATAATAATAATAAATAATAAACTGAATTGAGCTTCTTAAATGAGTATATAAAGTTCAATTCTATTCATTAACAATTCGCTGTTCATAGTTGTTATGGTAGATACATGTATTAAGGTACAAATTTTAAAAAAAAAAGGGGAAGGGAATTAGTAAACATTTATTGTCTAGTTTTCATTTATGATTCTTATGTTGATTGTTATCTTTTTTTTTTCTTTTTTTTTCGGTTGTTGTTGTTGTTGTTGAAAAGTTACTCTTGGTAACATTATGTCTACAAATCATCCCATATGAATGTCAAATTAATGTTGTTACTAAAGGTATGTAAATTAAATATTTAATTTTTTATGTATTTTATTTGTAATTATTATTGATTAATTGAAGTTTAAACATTGAAATATAGATAGTCATTGTTAAGAATACTGTAGTTAAATAGTTGAGATCATGAGTCAATTGAAGCTAGACCATCATGGAAAACCTGTAAGCATTGGACGGTAGCTCAATTTCGTGAATTGGTTTAAGTTAGACATTGACACTGTTGGATACTGGATCAGTAGTTTAAAGGTTAAGCGTTCGCGCGCAAGTACGATAAGTTCATGGTTCAGGTCTCATGAGGTGTGATCGTGGATGTTCACTGCTAAGGAGTCCCACTATAGGATGAAACGGTTGTCCAGTGCTTTCAAGTTTTTCATGGTGATCTACCTTCAATTGACTCATGATCTCAACTATTAAAATTATTATAATATCCACAAGAAACCTCTTCTGATACTGTTCCATATTATTATCGGTCATTTCTATAAATTATTAGTATATATTTTGTAATCATTAGAATAAAATGAACCATTATCATATTTTATACTGAAAGCTTACAAATTTATTTTGAAGATTAACTCTTTTATAACAATAACAAAACATGAATTAAGTAGTTATCTGTTGTTTGTTATGACTGATAGACCATTAGATTGATTTCATTACCAAAATACAGGCTTTTCTTTAAATTACAGTATACTTTATTTCTACATAGTTATAGTACATCATGATATGACATAAACTATTTACCCTGATATTGTATTGATATTATTAGTAATAATTGTAATGATTTGTTACTATTCGATATGAAACTTTATCAATAATTGTCGATGGAACTCGACCATGTAGGGTAGGGGATAGTTATCCATCTCAGGCAATAGAAAGTGTTCGTTGAATATTGTAAGTTGAAGTTAGAAACTAACACCATCAGCTTTCATCTCGATGGCATAGAGTTTAAGCATTCTCACTTGAGACTGAGGGTCCTAGGTCCGATTTCCCATGGCGGCGGTGTGGATGCCCATGCTATGACGAAACACCTGTCCGGTATTTCTAGAGTCTTAATAATGGTTTAGCTGAGATCGATCTATAATTTAAAAACTATAAGAAAATACTTTTCTGCCTAAAGGAGTAATTTATCAAAATACACCTAATCTCATTGTTTTTTATTCATGTTTTGCTTTTCCATTTAGAAGTTGGTAACAGTGCTTTGTCCAATGAATCAACAAATACCTCATCAATTTCTAATCCCGTGAAATCAGTTTCACTTCATTTTTGTCGTTCAGCAAGAGGGATTAATCAGTCTGATCCGAACTCTGGTAAGTGATTGTTCTTTCATTAATAAATTCATTAGAAAAAGTAACGAATATATAAAATAAATATTGTAATTTATCTTTATATCTGACAGTATTGTCAAATAACAAATAATTGAATTCATGAGTCGATTTAAGCTAGACCACTATAAAAAACCTGGAGACATTGGATGGCCGTTTCATCCTAGTATGGGACTCCTTAGAAGTGCACATCCACGATCCCGCCTCGCGAGACTCAAACCCAGGACCTATCGGTCTCGCGTGCGAACGCCTAACCTTTAAACTACTGATCCGGCATCCAACGATGTTAATGTCTAACTTAAACCAATTCACGAAATTGAGCTACCATCCAGTGCTTCCAGGTTTTCCATGATGGTCTAGCTTAAGTCGACTCATGAATTCAACTATTAAATTACTAGAATATCCACAAAACCCCTCTGAATAAAATATTTTTCATTCAAGGAAATTTATTAGTCAGATAGTAATAACATTTATTTGGAATCACCAAATATCAAGTCAAATAAAATATTACGGTCGACCATCCCGTCTACAGTTTGTAAACTAATAAATCAATAATTAGGAAGGGATGGTCCCCATAAAACAAATCGTTTTTGTGTTAGTTTGAATACCCCGATAAACACGACGTGAATTCAACCTCATAGTTACTACATAGTTGACAGTGATTGGTAATCTAAAGACAACTACTGACCTTGGTACTCGTTATGTAGAAATCAGCTTTGTTATACTCCTACACGATTATCTTCTAAGTTCTAAACAAATAAACTATTATCACCGGAGCGAGGTTTTGTGGATATTATAGTGATTTAATAGTTGAATTCATGAGTCAATTGGTGCTAGACAATCATAGAAGAACTTGAAGCACTGGACAGCCGTTTTGTCCAAGTATGGAACTCGTCAGTTATTATGTCACTTATGTGTGTCCTTGAGTTTGTGTAAATAATAGTACTGTGTCTATGTGATTCATGTATCTCTTTTGTGCTTGTAAATGCTGAGTTATTTATCATTTACTGAGTTGACTATTTCTGCCACTTCATTTTACGTGCATTTCTGTTCGTCTCCTATTTTTTTCATGAATCATCGAATGTTTGAAATATGCATTCCACAAGTGATTTCTTATATGACTTTTCATGTTTATGGTGTTATTAATGGGATTTGTGGATATACTGTATACGAAATACGTAGAATATATATTTTACTAACATTAATGTTACTCTATCGTTATGTAGACAACCATGAGGAATAAAGTCACATATTGACAATCAAATTGTAATATGGCCACTTGTCAAAGTGAACCGATTTTGCGGTAATATTTATCTAATGGTAACTTGTTAAAAGAAATAGAAAGCAAGCTTTGGTTATAGACTGTGTGCTAGTTGAGACTTGAAATAAAGGCTTATATGCATTTTTTAAGAAACTGAAGTTCTCCAGGTATTGCATCAGTAACTGTAACGGTTGGTGATGGGGTTTTAAATTCTGCTAAAAGCATTTGTTCTCCTTGGAATTAAAGTCTAGCTAGATGATGAGCTTCAACTACAGTAAAACCTAGATCCAGGGTTTCTATTTAATAATTTATAACCAACTAACATAGTACTTGGTGTCCTGACTTTAGAAATTATCTAGCAGTCAACGAATATAAGGTTACTCATTTCATTCTACTCCACATATTTTCCTTGACTATTTCCAATGTAAACTATCAATTTTAAACTTCACACACAGAACTTAATTTTCAATTTATTCTGGAACTATGATTTTTCTTAAGGTAACTATTTACTATTATTGGTGAGAGATAATTAAGATCTTAATATTGAAAATGTTATGATTTATATATTTGGGTTGACATAACTTGATAAGGTTTACCAATCAGAATCCTGTAATATTTTTTTATGGGATAAATTTACATTCTGACCATTGAAATAGAGTAGTACTCTTTAACCAGTTACACTTTCTGACCGTCAACAACTAACTTTGAGTTGAGTTTAATATGATCTTACCCCTTATTAGTTTAGGACAGGAAACATAAATATTAGAAAATATATGAGTACCATGTACTCACAAATGACTAGGTTCAAGATGCATTTCGTGGAGTTCTAGTGAGAAGCCATGACTGTGGAGTTCAACCGTATCAGCTGTGAGGCCGTTATTCGCTGAACACAATGGTGGACGGTCTTGCAATATCATGGATTGGTTAAAATTAGACATGAACACCAGTTGTCGATAGGTTAAGCATTCACGTGCGAGACCGAAGGTCCTGGGTTCGAGTCCCTTGTACAGAATTGTAGATGCGCACTGCTGAGGAGCGCCGTACTAGGACGAGACGATCAACCAGTGCTTCCAGGTTTTCCATGATGGTCTAGCTTAAATCGACTCATGAATTCAACTATTAAATAAATATTTGTTTCTTTTTTTATCTGACTAGTACCTAAGAACACAAGTGATGCTAGATGTAATATTCCAATTGCACATTTAACTCCAAAAGGTCATGAGCTTAAGTCTATATCCATTAATTTTGACGCTAAATGTTTACCGAAACCAAATCCATGTAAGTTAACTGAGTGTAAATTATACTAATTTATGCTATCGGAAACAAATTAATACATTAGTTATCGTTCTCATTAATTATAAATGATCTCTCCTGTTGAATTAAACGTAAATTTGAGATTCGATATTGTGTGGTTGTATATATTCAAAATAGAAATTAATTTAAAACATGTTTAAAGGTTATAATCTCAACTATACATAACCTTCACAGTGATTGGTAAGTAAATGTTATAAGATTTCACTATAGAATCCATTCAAGGATCCTATCTAAATAACCGAGTTATACACAGAATCTCATACAACAATGTGAGGGATCATTTGAAAACCATTAATTCTTTGTCAGGGAACTAGAACATACAGGAACAGTATATTTAAGGTTATTTTCAGTGCCGTAATGGAGTGATTATAATCATTTACAAGTAGAGAAAAGAAAGCAGAAACGGAGAGCACATAGAAACAATAACGATAATTATTGTGATAGGTCTACCCTTATAGATGTACCAAGCTGTTTTATGATCTGCTGTTAGGGTTAAATATTATTCATATTGGTTTAGTTTACCAGAAACGATGTAAGTGTAAAATATCTGAGGGTATGGAATTTTAATGAGTGGCTCAGTAATAATAGCGACTAAACATATAATATTCCTATAATTTCACTAGTGGAAGTTGAAAGTGATTTCAGAGGACAAGTAAATAAAGATACAAAGGACAAGTGAGCTAAATTACTTCAGAGTCCCGAAAATTTACCAGTAAAATAATTCATATAGAGAGAATGTGTTGAATAAGACAGATTCCGATTAGTGAAAAAGGATACATGAATAAACAGATAAATGTTAGACCACCATTGAAAAGCTGGAAGCAACGAACGGCCGTCTCGACCCATTATGGGACTCCTCAGTAGTGCGCACCTACAATTCTGCACACCGGACTCGAACCCAGGATTTTCGGTCTCGTGCGTGAACGCTTGACCTCTAGACAACTGATCTGGCATCTAGTACTGTTAATGTCAAACTTCAACAAATCCACGAAATAGCGCCACCATCCTGTACTTCCAGCTTTTCAATGGTGGTCTAATATTCATCGATTCATGATCTCAATCAAAAACTTAACAGTCTCCACAACGACGACTAACATGACCACAACGTACAAACAATTAGAAAAATACAATTATGCCCAAAACGGGATTAGGGAACGGAAAAGGGTATTTCAGTGAATCACACATCAAACGAAAGCTTATGGCTTATAGAATTAGCTAAAGGCGAAAACAAATGTTAGTGTTTTAGAAGCTTTGAATTAAGCAAAACAGTCCCTCCCCCAAATCTTACGTTGTTTGTCATAGCTTCTATGTTCCTTTGTTAATAACCACTTTTTTCTAGTTCAATTTTTATGGTGATAATTTTTTTTTCATAACAAAACGTAGTATTGCAAGGTGAAAATGTCATCAAAGTTGTCGGACATTCACCACAATCAAATGTAATCAATATGAGAAATGAAACAAAATATCATTCAGCAAACATTACACATACAAAATATGATCAAACTGTCAATATACAAGCAGGTTAGTTACATTACTGATAACATTTCCATTTATTTCATTTTGTTATATGCAAAAGTTATTGAAAAGAAAATTGAATCATAATTGCATTGTTAATATTTTGATCCAAATTATGTACATGAATGCAACTATCATAATTGTTATGTTCTTAGCTATACGATTATCGCGAGAATTATGATTGCCAATTTAGATATATGATGACTTATACGATCAAACTAATGACGCATACACCAGTATGGACAGTTTAGAAATCCCATTTGATTCCTTTAACATCTTGCCCTACGAGTTCAGTTCAAAACACCAACAATACCCCCCCCCCACTATATGAATCATTTATTTCAGACGTACTTCGTTTATATACAAGCAAAATCACGTCACAGCACACCATACAATGAAAAATAACATTTGTACAAGATGTAGTCAAAAGTGGTTGTGAATGTGAGAAACTGTCATTGATACATGGAGAATATCTCGAGAATAGTGAGTCGTATGATGATAGTCAATAGATCAAATAGAAGCATATAATGAAGGGAATATGTGTATATACGTATAATGAAGTCAGTTAATAGTGATACAAGAAGGATATACGTATGATATTAGTCCATAAGTATATCCTAACGGTTACCATTCATTTATTCTTGTCCAAATATAACAATGTTTTCTTTAATTGATTCAGTTCAATCAATTTATCTGAGTAATGTATCATGGAAAATACAAAATGTTGACGTAGACTTTATAGTGACTATAAGGATTAAATCTATCAAGATTCGACGATTATGCCTCATTGATAATTTTCGGCAGTTTTTCTTTACTACGTTTATGATGTATTTTGTTTTTTGCTTATATTCTAGGTTCACAATTCGATTTTCCTGTGGAATTAAAACCTAAATCAGTTTTAGACCTCTATTCTGATATAAAAAAGAAGCGACTTGCAAAACGAATCGTAAAAAGAAAAAAAATAAGATATGGTATGTGTGAGAGCTTAATATTATGTCAAATATTTGCTTTTCCGGGAGGGGGATTTGCAGAGGCATCTAAGAATCTTCATAGCTTAAATCACAAGCTGATCTTCGCTAGACTACATATTAAAGTCTGGAAACATTGGACGACCGTTCAGATGTAGTATGGGACTCACCAGTAGTTTGAACTTGTGACACTGCCACAAGGAATCAAACCAAGGACTTTCAGCCTCGCTCCTAAACGCTTAATCTCTAGAGCACTGAGTTGGCATCTAAGGGCGTACATGTCTAAATTCAATCAATCCACTGCTTCCAGGTTTTTAGTGATGGTCTAGCTGAAATCAGTCAGTGATCTAAGCTATGAGAATATTTACTTGTTAGGTAACATGAAGTTTATTTTATGTGATATTTTTAAAAATCCGATCTTGAAAAATTGTCGGACAGTCTCAACGTAGAACCTAGAACGAATGTACGCCGGTTCAAGTTCCCATACCGCACTAGCATCTAGAAAGTAGATCGAAGAGAACTACTGAGTAGTGAGCTGTTCCTCTAGTTGGAAGACAAATGTCTCACCTACGCCACAAGTGACATAAGTTGGCGAAAGCCAATCGAGCCTTCTGAATTCGTGACGAGATTTGTCGGACACCAGACCATCAGCTCTGATGAGACTCCCAATATAAGTGAAGTGGTCTAGGGGCCGAATTACTTCACTCCCTATCAATAACTTAGTATAATGACGCAGGCCAATCCTGAAGTAAAATTTTACATTTGGAATCAGAATGAATTCTAAACGTTTTTACATTGTTACTTCACCACCAATATGGTTTAACGCTGCCTTAAGATGAATGAATACAACCATAGTCGGATACCGAAAAGTATGTCTATGTCACAAAATCTGCTGAGGAGTGAATATTTAGTCTATACATTCATGTAAAATTCTGAAGCCAGCCTGGTTTCTTCAAGTTTGCTCTTCACAACCTGAATTTTGACGTAAAAGTATTATTGAGGTGAATATTCTAGACACCATGTAAGTTAAATTGAATCCTCAGTGATTATCATATGAAGATTTTTGTCCTTTGTTATAAACTGGGATTACGTCCAGTTCTTTGATTTTGGCTACGATTTCAGTTGATCTAATTTCGAAAACAGGATAAACACCCTTGAAAACGTCAGGTGTTAGTTCGTCACTCCCTGATGCTCTTCCGTGTCTTAGATTACTTATAGCCTTCTAAACCTCACTAAGAGTTTGAGGACTTACATCTGTTTGTTATTCAGATTGCTTGGAGTTAGCGCGTATGGCTGAAAACAGGTTTAAGTGTTCCCCAAAGTGTTCCATCCATCGGTTTAATCTCCTGCATTGAGAGTGAATAATGACCTCATTTTTTTCTAAGATAGTTTCATTAACAGAGGGATTTTTTAAACCATTTTTCTTGATAAGTCTGAACAGTCATCTACTATTAACCATCGCTGCTGTATTTTCCATTTCTTCTGCTTTCACAACCTACCGCTGCTCACGATCAATACGTAGGCCTTTTGCTAATCTACATTTAAGCTGCCTCCGCTTCTCATCGTGTTCGGAGCCAGGCGGGATGAGATTCCGAGCATCACTCATTTCAATGGATTTCGATAGAACCTACTGATTTGTTCCAACCTTTTAGTTTAAGTTAATAGTATATATCATTGCTGCTTCTAAAGCTTTTCGGATATCATACCAAGTTACCTTAGGGTGGATATCGTTTTCACGGTTGACTAGCTACTTCTTTAGTTGTTCTTGAAATATATTTTTAGCTTTTTCTATGAAATTCATCCTTAACTTCGTCCAAGTTGCAATCAATGGGAGCGTAGGTAGAGACAAGGAAAAGGCGACGGTGTGTGTTCCTATCTTATCGAGTTCTTACTGTCCCGTTTAGTTGAATAGTGCAAAAGTGACTGTCTATAGAAACCCAGTCTAACATAGCCTGTTCTGTTGTAGAACCTAATGCTATACCTAAACTAGTGAGACCATGGAAAGTGGTAGTGGGGTCTCTTGATAGTCGATGGGTAAATCGTGAAGGTTTTTTATAGTGACAAGGTAAGGTTAAATGAATAACTGTACGTGGATGCTGTATACGCGTTTCGGGGTGCAGCATGTACTTATGGCGCAAGATTCTACAGTTTTAGCTAAAGAAACCCGTTTTCCAATTGGAAATGAAGTATGAGTATTAAAAGCTTCAACTTATACTTCGGAGAGTAGCTTCAGAAAAACAGGAATGATATTTCGTGAACTTAAATCATTAGCATTGGTGGCTTATGGTGATAAACATATGTGCTGAGGATTAGTCATAGGGGATGGAAGAATTCTTAATAAGTGAGGGAGAGATTCGATCGTCAACAATATAATCTCTGGTGCTGATAGAAGTATGGGAGCGGTTTTCATTTACCGCTTGCCCATATTATGGAACATTAATTTTTCTTGAAGGGCCTGAAAAAGAAGTTGAATAAGTAGTGGTCTTAACAACCTGGGGGTGTAGCAACAGAGCCCAAAGGGTGACTACTTGAGGCTAGTCGTGGATTGATTTCTAATGGGAAGTTTTTAGTGTGTGAGCTCCACACTTCAGTAACATATGCATACTAAACAGCCGTTAACGCTCTAAATACGGAACATTAAAATACAATAAAATGTGGTTATTCTTTATTGTTTATTCCAAATATTAGAAACGGAATTATTTTGAACAAGCATACCTCAAATCATCCAACACAACTTTATTTTCACAGTAATCATGACGATTCTAAAAGCTTTTGTATTAGTTATATCCTAATGGAATTTAGATAAATAAACTACTGAATTTTAATTGTTTTGACTCACTGGCTTTATGGCTGTTATAAGACCTTAACATTTTAGGCTATATAACTTCAATAGTTTCAGATGATCACTACTAGTGAAGAGTATTAAACTTTCACGAAATGGTGCTTTATCGTTTTTTTAGTATTCTTCAACTGTAATTAAATCATAAATAAAAGTAACATTCAATGTTTAAAGAATCATCAATTATAAATGCACTCGGTATTGTTTACTTGAATCTTCCCATTAATGTTTAGCACTGCAACTGATCAATCTCTTTTGGTATATGTGCGTACTGTGCGTATTGCCTCGATATTGTCTTAAGTCACAAGCATTATAAGCAAAGATCAATAATGGCTAACGATGAAATCTAGGATGCGCGTTTCATCCTACTTGGAATTCATCAGCTAGATGTACCTGAACATCAACTTTGGGATATAGGTACATCTAGATGACGAATTCCAAATAGGACGAAACGTGAATATTTTCTTATAATCATTAATTATGTTTTGATTACTCTGTTTTTTTATATTTTATAGTTCATATTCTTGTTATCTGTGTATTTTATATAATTCTTTTCAAACTTGTTAATTTGATACACTTTGTTTTACTGAATAATATAAAAGGAGAAAGTGAAAACAATGATAACATGAATGTGAGAATGATTACACGACGTATTAGACGTATTTTGGGAAAAATACATTCGGATAAAGCATCTACAGCAGAAGCTGGTAAGTTATATTTTCATCATGGTTACTTCGTAAGTCTATTACTAATACTATTAATAACACTAAATTAGGTATCTAATTATTGTCCAACCCTCCTCCTTTATCCGGGTTTGGGACCGGGAGTAGCCCCAGAGGGGCTCCAGGTGGAGTTTTTCTAATTAATGTAACTCAATCAATTAGTCCTTTATCATCAACGTAAAGCTTAGCAAAGATATGTGTTGGCCCAAGTTGCTATATTACATTAACACAATTAGACGAAATTAACGAAATGAATATTTAACAAAACAAAAGTAATGTAGTAACAATCACAAATGAGAAATACTAAACATTAAGGGTATCTTTCAAAAGACAGGATGAAAAGATACGTCACTTACTTACTAACTTACTCCTGTTACTCCCAATGGAGCATAGACCGCCGACTAGCATTCTCCAACCCACAGTGCCTTGGGACTTGTTTTTCAGTTATGTCCAATTTTTGTTCATTTTTCTCATTTGTCTCTGTTTCTCGGCGTAATGTGTTCTTTGGTCTAACCAGAAAAAATTATTCAAACCATTTGAAAAGGTATGTACGAAGGGATAATGGAACTCAAGAGTTAAAATGACATAAAGAATAAATGCATTTAGGCCATTTTAACCAATTTTGAGCCATGTCACTCAAAGTCTCTAATAATTGATTACCATTTCCCCAAACCGATAGTTTACATCTAATAACATGCCTCAAATCTGCAGTCAATGACTTCATGGATTAATGCTGAATCCTGAATTCGCTGTATCTAGCTTACTTCCAACCTACTATCATACCATTAAACATTGCCCGTTATGGTCGACTATGCTTAGACATAATTACACTTATTCCAATCAACTCAGTCGATGAAAATTAACTATCTCAATAATCCATTTCGCATCCTTGTCTAGTTATTTACTTCTTATATAAACACTTATCACTCAATCGTTTCATGATAAACAAAGTAATTTTTAAAAGACAAATATGATCAGAGACCTAAAACCTACAGATGTCTTGTATTTGAAAAAGTCAAATAGTAGCACACACTAGTCGTCTGTCCAGTTTACCCCATCTTTTAGTTATCAAACAGATATCATGCCTTCAATAAAACTTCATCAATTATTTACTAAGTTCTATTTTTTAAATATAAATGCTTATCAATTTACTCTGTTACTTAAATAAACAATATTCGAAGTAAAACAATGAAGATATAACTCAGTAATTCTGACATTCTAATTACCTCATATTTGTAATGAATGTAGAGATACGCATATGAATTTTGTAGTAATACTCCATATGATGTATTTTGTAAATTCAACAATACATTCTTAATTATATTTCTTTGTCAGCAAATAAGTCTTTGCAGACAACAAACTCATTCGTTCACATCTCCTACGGACACATAACACACCATCGACTATCAACATAATATAAATCGTCTCATATGCAAACTCAATCCTAATCAACCAACAATATTGATAGAAAATTCATTATATTAACGTCATTTAATGTTAACTATTTGTTGGATAAAGATGCTTCATTAGTTTATATGAATTAATAGATTAATTTTAAATAAAAACTCACCTTTGTATACTTAATTCAAACAAAAAACTGATGAAATAAATAACTAAAAAACATTCAACAACTACTACTGAAAACGCAGGTAAAGTTGAAAAATTGTTTACTCCTAGCATAGAATTTCTCATCAGTGGAACTCAACGAACATATGGAAGATCAGATCGGTGGACTCTTAACCTTTGATCTTCTAAGCTGAAACTCCACATAGTACACATTTAATTTTCATCATTTTGTTATATACATAGTTAGCATCTTCTATTAGGTGTCGTGGGTAACTTTATCAATCTTGACATGGTTGAACTCCATTAGTTCTTGTTGTGATGTGATAAAATCTTCAATCAGAATACGACTTATACAATCATAAAATTGTGCCACAACAATTACGTATTGACCGGTATGAGCAGCTTAGCGTCCATATTGGTTCCTTTTACTCCAAGCACTGCCAGTTCAGTCCAGAACACCAATAACACCTCCTACTATACAAATCGTTTATTTCAGACATACATCATTTATATACAAGCAAAATCACGTTATGTACATGAATGCAATTGTCATAATTGTTATGTTCTCAGCTATACGATTATCCCGAGAATTATGATTGCCAATTTAGATATATGATGACTTATACGATCAAACTAATGAGCAGTTTTGAAGTTTCATTTGATTCCTTTTACGTCTTGCCCTGTCAGTTCAGTTCACAACACCAATACCCCCCCCCACTATATGAATCATTTATTTCAGACGTACTTCGTTTATATACAAGCAAAATCACGTCACAGCACACCATACAATGAAAAATAACATTTGTACAAGGTGTAGTCAAAAGTGGTTGTGATTGTGAGAAACTGTCATTGATACATGGAGAATATCTCGAGAATAGTGAGTCGTATGATGATAGTCAATAGATGAAATGGAAGCCTATAATGAAGGGAATATGTGTATGTACGTATAATGAAGTCAGTTAATGGTGATACAAGAAGGATATACGTATAATATTAGTCCATATGTATATCCTAACGGTTATCATAGGACGAATACCTTTAATGTTACATGATTTTTCTCTTTTCAAACGAACACGTTTATTACTTCAATGATAATTACATTTCAATGATTAACAATGATAATCATTAGAAATTATGTCATTGTTATTACTTGCTAGAAATTATTTCAATCCATTTTAGTGGCCTGTGGATCTGACTCCACTTAGATCGTACGAATGTTTTGTTATCACTTATCCTCGTATACAATCATCGACTTAAATCATGTTAGTCAATAACGGAATTTAGATAAGTCAATTAACGAGAATGATCTTTAAACACATATATTTTCTATGTAAATTGAATGTAATAGAACAAAGTAAAAAGGACGTGCAAGGGTGATAGCTGGTAAGTCAACTCCATTTTTTAGCCAGGCGTTACGCAATATTTATAGGCAGACAAAATAAACTACAGACATGTGATGAGACATGGGATATGATGAAGTGTATACACACATATACGCTCATATAAAATACAGTTAAGGTCAAAATATGACTTAAATAGAACGAATAGATTAATTTGTCCAAAACCTAGAATAAGGATATATTATGGGCTTAAAATAATAACTGGTACTATACCATATCACATTAAATATTTGATGTCATTCAATTTATTATTCTTGTATTGTTTTTTTTTTACCTTAAAAAAGATAATAAAAGAACTGTAGTGAATATAAAACGAAAAGACATTACGACAGTTGACAATAATGATACATTAAAAGATTGGAAAAGTTTAATTCGTAGAAAGAAAGATGATATGAAACGTGTATTGATAAGTAAGTGTATTTCAACTATTCGTTAAAGAATTTGTAGTATGTCGAATAGCGACAATCATTTGTTTCTGACAATAAATGAAGAGTTGCACAAGATCATCAATCGATGAAAGTTAAACATAAATGCTATTGAATGATAACTTAATGATTTATAGGTTAAGCATTTACGCGTAAGATGGTCTAGTTTAGATTTTTTTTTTCATTTTGCCACCTTTTAAGTTGGATTTGATTAGTTCATTAACCTTAATTCACTTAGTGTATGATAGAATGTGCAGTGTCAGGAGTGGGATTCAAACCCACGCCCACAGAGTGAATTGCGACCTGAACACAGCGATTTGGACCGCTCGGTCATCCTATGATAGAATGTGAGTGTTAATAAATTAGTTTAAAAAGAAGTTATTCACTATTTCATGGAAGAGAATAGAATACGTGAAGTTTATTTATTATAATGATATGGTTTAAAAAGTGTTTGTTTTAGTTTAAAATTTACTTTATTATAACTTTTAGAACGGGTTAAAGCGAAGAAGCGAGATGTTAATGAACATATTGAATCGTCAAAATCTAAAGAGAGATTTATTGTACAAAAAATTAGACGTCATGTACAGAAAGAAGCAGAAGCAGCAAAGAATCGTATTCTTATTAGTGAGTTGTCATTATTATTTCCGTTTTCAGAAGAAAAAAATATAAACTTAATCATATGAGGTAATCAGTAGCAAATCCTGGACATGAGTTTTATGCCATTAGATACTTGTCACTAAGGTGTTTCTAGATTCATACAAAAATTGATACTTCTTTTTGAGTTTATTCTTTCCTAAACTAGTCATTTAATAAAGAGTTCTATTATTGAATGATTTGGTTCATAAACAATCACTTGATGATATTTTAGTGAAGGAGAACACATTTGGCAACAACCAAATGTATTTCAATACAACAATACATAATCCTAATAGTTGAGATCATGAGTCAGTTGAAGATAGACCACCATGGAAAACCTGGAAGCACTGGACGGCCGTTTTGTCCTATTGTGGGACTCCGCAGCAGTGCGCATCCACAAACCCACCTCGCAGGATTTGAACACAGAAGCTACCAGTCTCACGTGCTAGTGCTTAACCTCTAGACCATTGAGTTGGCCGGCATCCAACGGTGGTAATGTCTAACTTCAACTAATCCATGAAATCGAGCGACATATCCACCAGTGTCATCAGTGAGTTGTTATATCACAACAGACCCGGTTGAACTCTACTGGTCACTGCTTCTCACTAGAACTCCAGGAAATACATCTTGAAGTCAGTCACTAGTGAGCATATGTTGATTATTATAAGAAGGGGTTTTGTGAAGAATTTAGTAATTTTAATACATACTAATAACTATTGATATCAGTAGCATTCACAACAATATTATATATATAATTAAAATCCAAATAAAAAAATGTAAATGGTTAATGTAAAATGTTCCATAGAAATGTAATTTAAATAATTGTAAATTCATCAAAATATATACAAGTAACCAAGCATAAATTGTGTTGTTATTTGATTGGTTGATCAAGGTGTTTTTTTTTGCATTTAAAGGAACACGCAAAAGAAAACGTATTCGTAAATCAACATCCATGGGAAAAATAAAAGAACATTTACATAGACGAAGATGGAGAATTAGAAGACGACGAATAGGACCTCGTACGTCTAAAGATCTATATAAATAATAATAATAATAATAATAATATTATTATTATTAGTGGTTTTATTCAATGGCGCAATATAGAATTCTCAGCGCAGAGTATTTTAAAAAGTTTCCGTTTCTTATTTCTTGATTGATATTGACGATAAATATTGAGTGATCGTCAATTAAATGTTAACATTTCATTCTTTTCAAGGAATATTGCCAGCCATTATGATATCTGTGATTGCATATTTTTATAACTTGTAATGTGAAAGGTCATAAATGTTTCACAAATGTACCTGAATAAGTTATAGGATTAATAGTCACAATGATCTGTTTAAACAAACAAGGAAACAGATAACTTTGAGATCTATTTAAATGTCAGAAATAGATGGTAGCACAGATATGCAAAGAACCCGTCCGAGAAAACTAATGAAAGATAAAGTCTGAGATCATTTATTTTCTCAGAAAAAGCAACAACAACAACAACCAGATAACGATGGTATTTAAAAACAATTATCAATAGTTGAAATCATGAGCCAATTGAAGCTAGATCACCATGGAAAACCTGGAAGAACTGAACGGCTGTTTCGTAATAGTATGTGACTACTCCGCAGTGCTCATGCAAGAAACCACATCCATATTGAGATAACAATAAAAATCTCCAAAAAAACCCATCTCATAAAAAATAAATAGCAAAATGAAAGGAACAAGAAATTCAACAATAAATATGGATAGAATAGACTAAAATGTATATCAATGAAAAGTGATTAAACAAGTGAAACATAACTCAAATAGTGATATAATAAATACGAACTTTCGTCTAAATTTGAACGAAAAGTTTCACAATATTTGAGCAACGAGATTGCTTGAAAAAGCTGGGATCAGATTGCCAGGAGAAACAATGAAATTACTTCAAATTCTTCGCTGAGCTCTTACAAACATTTATTATTCCTGTTAAGTGAGATAATATATTACAAAAATAAAAACACTACAGATGGAAAGCAAGAAACAAAACAAATACAGAGGAAACAGAGGAAATCAACAAAAAGCACAAAATATAAAAATAGGAAAATATGAAGAAAAACAAATAGAAACAGAGAATCGTAGGTTGGTTGATTAGGATTGAGTTTGCATATGAGACGAATTATATTGTGTTGATAGTCGATGGTGTGTTATGTGTCCGTAGGAGATGTGAACGAAGGAGTTTGTTGTCTGCAAAGACTTATTTGCTGACACAGAATCTATCACACAGACTGACACTGACTGACTTTCCCTCTTCTCTCTTACAGGCGAAACGACAACACCTGAGGACGAATATATGAACGTGACAGACAAGTCCGGAAAGGTGATAGCTCGGTACAGGCGAAGGAGGAGGCGACGAGTGGGAGACGGTCAGCCAGGTAAGTTGGAATGCATTCAGTCAACACATACTAAGTGCACTAGGTCCGACGAATGTCAATGTGTCTATGATTGTAGTCGATTTTAACGAAGTGCACATACTTGATCATGTGATTTGTATCATTGATATTATTAGCAGTAATGGAAGCAATGTTATCAGTGGTAAACGTAATAGTATTAGTAACAATAGTACTTGTACTAGTAGCATTGTTGTGATAGTATTTGGTGTTGTTTTGGTTATCGTCGTGGAAGTAGTTAGTATTTCGTAGGATTCACTTTATTGAAGGTCGTGAATTTAGCATCTGATTTTGACTTTGGTAAAGTTGCTTCTAGTGATATTACTGTTGATGCTCCTGTCACTGACCATGATGATTTTGAATTTGATTTTGTGTGTTGTGTTGAGTGAATAGTGGTGTTTGATTAGTTAGAGTGTTGTTGGAAATCGTTGTGCAAACCGTGAGATTGAGGTGAGTGGGATGTGGATGAACAGTGAGGTTGTGTTTGTGAATGATTATGTGATGGTGTGGAGTGGTGTGCATTTGCGTGACTTATGTTTGGTAAGGCTTCTTACGGAACTACGTGTTCAAGGTGATCAGTATCTGCATGTGCATGCGTGTGTCCATGTATGTATGGGGATGAGGTCGAGAAGGAGGTAAGTATTGAGTCGTGTATGAGTTAAGAGTTGTGCTGTTTGTTTGCACGTGTTTCTGTGTGTGTCTGACTGAATGTATGACTGTTTGCCTGTCCGACTTTGTAACACGCACTACGACCGTGTGTTCGATGTCTTGATTATGCGATTGTGATTGACCAGTGTATCCGTGTGTGTTTGTTTGCGTGATTGTGTGAGTGGATGTTTGTGAGATTTTCTGTGTGTATTTGTGTGTGTGTGTGTGTGTTTGTGCATATGTTAATATGGTTTGTAGTTTGATGGTGCTGAGTGAACGGTATTGATAGTCTGTGCAAGTGATTGCATGTTTGTATGATTGGTTAGATATTTGCACTGTTGCATGTATGAGTGTGTTTGTGTTTATGAGTGTGGATGAGTGGATGAGTTGGACTGTACAGAAGAGACAGTGATATTACGTACTTGATCGATTAGAAGGCGTATTAGATCGAGTTCGATTGAGTGAATCGTTTGTTGGTTGATTAGGATTGAGTTTGCATATGAGACGAATTATATTGTGTTGATAGTCGATGGTGTGTTATGTGTCCGTAGGAGATGTGAACGAAGGAGTTTGTTGTCTGCAAAGACTTATTTGCTGACACAGAATCTATCACACAGACTGACACTGACTGACTTTCCCTCTTCTCTCTTACAGGCGAAACGACAACACCTGAGGACGAATATATGAACGTGACAGACAAGTCCGGAAAGGTGATAGCTCGGTACAGGCGAAGGAGGAGGCGACGAGTGGGAGACGGTCAGCCAGGTAAGTTGGAATGCATTCAGTCAACACATACTAAGTGCACTAGGTCCGACGAATGTCAATGTGTCTATGATTGTAGTCGATTTTAACGAAGTGCACATACTTGATCATGTGATTTGTATCATTGATATTATTAGCAGTAATGGAAGCAATGTTATCAGTGGTAAACGTAATAGTATTAGTAACAATAGTACTTGTACTAGTAGCATTGTTGTGATAGTATTTGGTGTTGTTTTGGTTATCGTCGTGGAAGTAGTTAGTATTTCGTAGGATTCACTTTATTGAAGGTCGTGAATTTAGCATCTGATTTTGACTTTGGTAAAGTTGCTTCTAGTGATATTACTGTTGATGCTCCTGTCACTGACCATGATGATTTTGAATTTGATTTTGTGTGTTGTGTTGAGTGAATAGTGGTGTTTGATTAGTTAGAGTGTTGTTGGAAATCGTTGTGCAAACCGTGAGATTGAGGTGAGTGGGATGTGGATGAACAGTGAGGTTGTGTTTGTGAATGATTATGTGATGGTGTGGAGTGGTGTGCATTTGCGTGACTTATGTTTGGTAAGGCTTCTTACGGAACTACGTGTTCAAGGTGATCAGTATCTGCATGTGCATGCGTGTGTCCATGTATGTATGGGGATGAGGTCGAGAAGGAGGTAAGTATTGAGTCGTGTATGAGTTAAGAGTTGTGCTGTTTGTTTGCACGTGTTTCTGTGTGTGTCTGACTGAATGTATGACTGTTTGCCTGTCCGACTTTGTAACACGCACTACGACCGTGTGTTCGATGTCTTGATTATGCGATTGTGATTGACCAGTGTATCCGTGTGTGTTTGTTTGCGTGATTGTGTGAGTGGATGTTTGTGAGATTTTCTGTGTGTATTTGTGTGTGTGTGTGTGTGTTTGTGCATATGTTAATATGGTTTGTAGTTTGATGGTGCTGAGTGAACGGTATTGATAGTCTGTGCAAGTGATTGCATGTTTGTATGATTGGTTAGATATTTGCACTGTTGCATGTATGAGTGTGTTTGTGTTTATGAGTGTGGATGAGTGGATGAGTTGGACTGTACAGAAGAGACAGTGATATTACGTACTTGATCGATTAGAAGGAGTATTAGATCGAGTTCGATTGAGTGAATCGTTTGTTGGTTGATTAGGATTGAGTTTGCATATGAGACGAATTATATTGTGTTGATAGTCGATGGTGTGTTATGTGTCCGTAGGAGATGTGAACGAAGGAGTTTGTTGTCTGCAAAGACTTATTTGCTGACACAGAATCTATCACACAGACTGACACTGACTGACTTTCCCTCTTCTCTCTTACAGGCGAAACGACAACACCTGAGGACGAATATATGAACGTGACAGACAAGTCCGGAAAGGTGATAGCTCGGTACAGGCGAAGGAGGAGGCGACGAGTGGGAGACGGTCAGCCAGGTAAGTTAGAATGCATTCAGTCAACACATACTAAGTGCACTAGGTCCGACGAATGTCAATGTGTCTATGATTGTAGTCGATTTTAACGAAGTGCACATACTTGATCATGTGATTTGTATCATTGATATTATTAGCAGTAATGGAAGCAATGTTATCAGTGGTAAACGTAATAGTATTAGTAACAATAGTACTTGTACTAGTAGCATTGTTGTGATAGTATTTGGTGTTGTTTTGGTTATCGTCGTGGAAGTAGTTAGTATTTCGTAGGATTCACTTTATTGAAGGTCGTGAATTTAGCATCTGATTTTGACTTTGGTAAAGTTGCTTCTAGTGATATTACTGTTGATGCTCCTGTCACTGACCATGATGATTTTGAATTTGATTTTGTGTGTTGTGTTGAGTGAATAGTGGTGTTTGATTAGTTAGAGTGTTGTTGGAAATCGTTGTGCAAACCGTGAGATTGAGGTGAGTGGGATGTGGATGAACAGTGAGGTTGTGTTTGTGAATGATTATGTGATGGTGTGGAGTGGTGTGCATTTGCGTGACTTATGTTTGGTAAGGCTTCTTACGGAACTACGTGTTCAAGGTGATCAGTATCTGCATGTGCATGCGTGTGTCCATGTATGTATGGGGATGAGGTCGAGAAGGAGGTAAGTATTGAGTCGTGTATGAGTTAAGAGTTGTGCTGTTTGTTTGCACGTGTTTCTGTGTGTGTCTGACTGAATGTATGACTGTTTGCCTGTCCGACTTTGTAACACGCACTACGACCGTGTGTTCGATGTCT